CTTGGCAGCAGTGAAATCGGCTTTGACTTGGTGGTGGTGTGATGACACGGGCTGTAAGCTGCCAGGTCAGCATTTAGCAACCCCACCTCTCTCACAGGAGAAAGATGGGACTTTCCACTCTCATAAAGAGTTAACATCTGGGACACTCACAGGGGCAGTTCAGTTGTGCCCTGCCCTGCAGTGTTTCTATAAGTTGCCATTGACTCGATGGCAGTGAGTTAGTTTTGGGTGGCACAGTGGTTAAGACCCAGTTTTATGTTCCCGTAAAGATTTTAGTCTGAGAAGCTCTTCCAGGGTCTTCTACTCCGTCCTTAAGGGTCGATGAGCTACAACAACACGCCTTACTGCTGCTAGTGCTGGCTGGATGCGCTTGAAGTTGTCTCTCAACCTTGCCAGAGGTGGAGGTGTGCGTGAGAGTGTTTTTTCTAGGAGATCTTGAAGGGCCTTTTTATTTTTCCACATTCTGTCTTTAACACTGCCAGTCTTAAAAATAAGCCTTGTGATTTGACCTTGTAAATGATCACTTAATAAATTGTTTATTTTTAAGTCTGTCCAATTTTAAAGGCTTAGACGTACATGATCTGATCCAAGCACATTTGTGAGGAAATGTGTGTGGGCTGTTCTTGACCTTTCATTTGTTTTTTTACTTAACTAATGTTTGTATACAATGTATAATAGAGCGAAGAAAACTTTATTGTGCTTGTATTGGTGAGCATTGGTTGGGTGGTCTAGTGATGCTTTTTATTTATCTTCCATTTAAGAGACAGTCCATGTATATTTTGTGATTTACTGATGTTAGAATTTTAGAACAAGGCCATACATTTGCAATGAGGATAACTAGTAGCAGTGATCACCTTGTCTGGAGGAACCAGTAAGGCAGCATCAACATCTGGTAAAGCTGTTTTAAAATAGTGTGTCACCAAAGTGACTTTGTCTTGTTTCTCTCTTAATTCCAGTTTTTACAGTACTTTGTGAAGGCTCTAAATCACATGTAGGTTCTATAAGGTAGAGGGCGAATATGTGTGTGTGAGTTTAAATGATTAGTTTATGGAATAATTGGTATTATATGAAGTTGTTAAACCTTTATGAGGAATGAATTTTCAAAGACTCCTCTTTGGATCAAATTGTTGTTACAGGTGTTGGAGGCAACTACTTAATTCTCATTTGAACCTACAATTAAGTAATTTTGAATGTTATTTTGATGCTTTCTTGTTCAGAGAAATTCTGACTAAGTTTCTTACTGGGTCTCTGATATCACTTGGAAAGAAGATGGTAGGGGTGTAGATGACTCAGGGCGCTTCCCAGAAAAACAACATCTGTGTGTTACATGCGTACAATGGTTTCATAATTCAGCTCTGAGGTGGAATCTTGCTAAATATTTCTGCCTCCCACAGTGACTAGCATTCCGAGAATAAGCAAATAATAAATTTAAAAGCTATATGTATACAGAAATATATAAATATAAAATTATGTAAGATATAAATAATATGTATAAATACATAAGGAAAATTGCCAACAAAATAAACTATTGAGGTTTTGCTTAAAGTATAATTAATGAACAGTGAGATTTCAAAAATCAATATACTGTAGCTTGGTTGGTTAGTCATTGAACGCTAAGGAATTTTAAGACCTGAATCTTGGACATGATGTAAAAAAACTAACTCAGATGCAAAAATTTTTTGATCATCTTAGGCAAATTTTTGGATATTTTATTCTTCAGAAGAAAAAAATAAGGTTGTATTGAATACTTTGTGTGGAAATTGGTGCCTTACAACAAATGTAAAGTATTAAGGCAAAGCGAAGTAAAGTATCTTTTTTGTTAAGTTAATACTTTGAAGACACTGCAATATACTTTTTCTTTTAATGCTTATAAATTCCCTGTGAGAAAATCTATTTTCATCTTATTGGTGAGGAAATTTAGTGTCTGGTTTTAACTGGCACAATTGAGGTTCTGCCTCAGGTCTTTTAACTTGGTTCTTTATCATCTTGATTTCTGATTCCAGAAGTCCATTTCCTTTCTCCCTTTTAACTACTGTATTGATTGAAACAAATTCGTTTCCTTTTCTATAGTGTTGAATTTTTGTATATGCTTTACACAATTTCTAAGTTCTAGAAGAATTCAAATGTTTTAGGAGACATCAGAAATGGATGCAGTCAATTTGGGCACAAGTTAGAAATAAAATAGGCATTGGCATTTCTTAAAATCTAAAAAGAGATACCAAAAAAGTATGTGTTAGACTCTTTTTCTCTAAATTGCTTCCAGCTGCCTGCTTCCTAATAGAGGAATATTTATTAAAAGTGGCAGGTTAAAAATTGGATTCCTAAGGCAAAATATGACTGGTTTCAAAACTCAAAAGAACAGGGACTGTCTGAGATTTTGAAACAAGTGTATTGGTTCTTTTTTGGGAAGGCGAGGTGGAGGTTGAAGGAATAGGTAACACACAACAGCACCACAGAACAGCAAGCCACCTAGAGTATTAGAGGGAACCACAGAAAATGTCCTCAAGTAGTGAGTAGAAGAATATGACCTTTTCCCTTATGAGTTCCAAGCAGTATAAGTATTTGAAAAGGTGAAAGGAGTCACTTAAGATGATAAAATAAGACATTTAAGCACAATGAACGATTGGCCTGGTCATGAAACTCGCTTATAGATAGGCCTAGGGTAAGGAAAGAGCCTGAAAGCAAAGTAAAGCGTGGTTTGCATGCAGAGGATATTACTAGACTAATTGAAGGCTGTGGGAGAGATTGAAAGCACTATTAGGTTGCAGTGCTATAGGCATGTTAAAATTAAGGAAAGCCATGTGCTAATTCTGACAAGCAATTGATGAGAAAGAAATACGTTGAAGGAAAAAGCACTGGCATTTGGATGAGGATTTGATGGGAAACTTATACTTGAAAATGAAGGCCATTATAGTGTGTGTTGAGATACCTGTAAAAGTTTTCTTTCTTAAGGTGTTCAGTAAGGGTGGCAGGTGTGTGCTTCCGAGAAGAGAAATGTAAAGTTAACAAAGACCTTCGGGAAAGAACTCAGTGACGCCCTGGAGCCCAGCCAGGGCCCTTGGAGGACTGTAGCCATGAAAACCCGGTACCGCCCGGTTGGGGGTGCCCCAGAAGAAAGCTCCAGCTGATCTGGGGGTTGAGTGTGAGCACAATTCGGACACCAGTACAGTATAATCACCACCCATGTTCTACAATTAATATACATGTATTTTCAGTTTTGAAATGGTATTATTTATTTATTTTTATTCAATACTTTTATCGGGGGGCTCTTATCACAATTCATACATTGCGTCGAGCATATTTGTACATATGTTGCCGTCATCGTTTTCAAAGCATTTTCTGTCAATTTTTTGCTCTTGGTATCAGCTCATTCCCCTCCCTCTTCTCATGAACCAACCTCAATAATTTATAAATTATTTTTTTTCATGTTTCTGTCTGATATAATGAAAAGTAGTTATCTGAGATGTAATTAATCTCTTCAGAGTCTTCTTATAGATTGGAAATATTAGTAGCTCCTTTTTTGTGTGTGTGATCCAAGTGGGTTTTGTGAGTGGCTTCTTAATTGTGAGTTGATCTGTGGTCTGAAACCACTCTTTTATATTTTATTTTATATTTTATATTAAGGCCAGAAATAATAAAAGTCATTGTTGGTAATCCCTGCATAACTGAGCCATTGGTGTCAAAATAATATTTTAATCCTTAAATCATAATACTATTATTGGAGATACATTAGTGAGTTTTCATAATAATCATCATTACCTAAAAGTATACAGGATCTTCTTGTTAAAATCTATATCTTAATAAGTTTATTGTTTTTAAATTTCTGTTACATTTTAAAGCATTTGTCCCTTCGTTATTATAAATAATACCTACTTTGCTAAATAAATCATGATTTGGGTACATAGTTATTACCATAATTTAGCAGATGTAACTAATGTCTTTCTTCCTGAAGCTTTTAATATTTGGATTTCTAGATCTATTGTTTCTTACTGGTCGTTGGGTTGCTCCATATGATAAAAAATTTGAAATAAAAATCAACTCGGCAGGTAACTCCCAACCAAACCGATCGCTGTCCAGTCGATTCCAACTCACAGTGAGGCCATAGGGTAGAGTAGAGCTGCTCTCCAGGTAATCGGAACAGGAGTAGACCGCCCGCCCCACCGGGTTCCCCTGCGGAGTGGCGGCTGGGGTAGAAGCAAACACTGTGAGGACAGCTGCCCATCTTTAATCCACTGCACCACCAGGGCTTCTGAAACCAGGGGGCTCCCTTCTAACACAATAAACTACCTCATACCCCTTTAAATAGTTGAAAATTAGGCCTCTATTTTAACAGCATTGATACTGCTTACTCTAATTTGAGAGAAAATCACAAATCCTTCTCAAAATTGAATTACTCTCAAAGGAAGTTGTCATTGACCATGACGGCAAGCATGTCCTCTCTCAGATGATTCACTTACCATTCACTTAACATAGGTAAACGCTGTCTTTACGCCTCTAGTTAATTGTAGGATGTAATTAGGTTCTAATCAGTGTATCCTATTAAATAGTGTTATACCTTTAAAGTATTCATATGGTGATTTGCTATGCTAAAGGATAGAATATTGAATCACAATGTGTTAAAGTCATTTTGCTAATGTATATATTTTCATCTTAAACAGTGTGCTTGGGGATGAGTCATTTAAAAATACCTGTTTTCTACATCTAGCTGGGTGATAGTGTTAGGTTCATTCTAATGCTTTTACATTATCAGGATGACATAGTTGTAGAAATAGATGATTTAAAAGCCTAAAATTCAGCCTATTCATATCTTAACCCCTCTAGAATTTAAGAGACCATTAGTTAAGTCTAATAATTCTATTTGTAGTCAACATTTTCGGTGCTCCCTGTTAGACAATGAGCAGTAACTTTTCTCATTTTTAGAAGCATACTCTCAATGCTAACATTTTAAAACAAAACAATCATTTGTTTAATCATCTGTATTTTTGTATATTTCCTTACAGAACAAAGAATCTCCTAAATCCAGTATCAAGAAAAAAGTAACCAAAGTAGCAGAAGCAAAGAAAGTAATGAAGAGAAATTTTAAAGTGAATAAGAAGATAACATTTACTGATGAAGGGGAGGTAAGAGTCTGTAAAGAATGACATTACATCGTTACATAATGACGACAATAAATGCTTCTATAAAGCATGCTGGGCATGCTACTTCCAATGCTACTGTAGGCTTGTCATCGACTCTAAATCTGTAGGCAAGGCTTTCTCAATGGCAGTAAACCAAGAGACTTCTTGGTGATAATAAAAAGGGGTCACTTAAGAACTTTGTAAACTCTTTTATCTTTAAAGAAAAGATTTTCTTATGTTGTCATGGTTTCCACCAACATATTCTTTGGGAAGAGAGAAATCCTGAACATACGTATAAGAAAAACAACACAGGTACTAGCCACAGATTGTTTTGTTTGGCTCTCATTTGCATGTTCTCATATTTTCGATGCCTTATTTGGAGATTTCTAATTATTAGAACAAATCTGCAAAAAGATCTCTTTTAGGTGTTAAAAAGCAAAAATGTCACTTTGAAGATCCCGGATCCCAGCTCCTGACCCCCAGCCATGATAATTTCAGTGCCCTCATGAGCATGTAAAAACTGGAAGGATGACCCAAGGAGAACGGATGATTTTAAATGATGGCATTCATGAGAAACTGCTAAAGACTACCATGGACTGCTAGAAGAACAAATCAATCCATCTTGGAAGAAATACAGCCAGAATGCTCTGTAGAAACAAGAGTGGTGATGCTTCATCCATCTCATGTACTTTGGACACGTTATCAGGAGGCATCCAGTCCCTGAAAAAGGAGAGCATGCTTGGTAGAGAGTCGGTGAAAAAGAAACCCCTCGATGAGATGAATTCACACAGTGACTGGAACAGGAAGCTCAAGTGTAGTCATGACTTTTAGGACCTCACAGGACCAGGGCGGTGTCTCATTCTGCTGTAGGTAGGACCACTGTGCCTCGGAACAGATTCGATGACACCGATAGACAATTATTCCTGAACTGGCTTTGGGAGGAAATCCTTAGCTTCGAAGTAATTCCAGACCCTTGGTGCCTTGTTTAATCTCACCATTACCTTGCCTTCAGTGTAAATCACTTCCCATAGAGTAGGGAAGTGTCACCACTCTCATATCTCTCATGGACAGTCACTGTACTAGATTTCTTTATTTTTAAAGGAGGAAAGCAGTCAAGAAGATCAAGAGACTCTTCATCATTCATTGCTACTTAGTAGTTATAGTAGTCTTCCAAATATCTCCCGACTTTATTCTCATTAACCTACTAGTTTTTCTCATTATCCCAACGCCTCCATCATAATCTCATCCCCACCATCCTGCTTTATTTACCTTCATAGATAGAACTTACTTTGTACTTTTGCATTTTTTTACACTTCAGTATAAACTACAGTAGGAAGGTGTTTTCCTGAGTTTGTGACCTATTGTATCACTAAAATCCTAGAACAGTACCTTACTCACCAAATTGTCTTACTCAAGTTCTTCCTCTTTTTCACTGACCCTGTTGTAGAAGCATGATGCCCTTCCCCAGGGGCTGGTCCCTCCTGATAGCATGGCCAACGTGTGTGTGACAGAGTCTCACCGTCCCTGAGTCTTTGGAGCATTCTGGCATATTCTAAACCCGTAGACAAATATTTGTTTGTGCGTAATGAATCATCATCTAACATTCCTATAAAACGACAGCCTTTTGTAATAGTGATTTCCATCACATCACATTTTCATTATCACTAATATGAATGCTGCCTGAATAGCCCTTTGCTAGTGATGAGGGTTTTGTTTACACCTTTAAAGTAAAACGCTGATGTTCTGTTGAGCAAAAGCCTAGATTTGCACTAATAACATGGAATAAAATGGTTGTGCAAGTCAGATGAAAACCGACGTTGCTGTTGGAAGTTGCAGAGGAAAATCATGAAATGAATAAATAACCTTTATGAAATCACTAAGAAGAGGTCATCATTTAAGAAGTAGGCAGAAATAAAATGTACTTACATTACATCAGATGCTCCTGTAAAATAAGATAAGTGCTTTTAGCATAATGAGGTTCTTTAGTGTGGTACTAAGTTTAACTACACAGATTAGCTCCAAGCTGAGTGTAAATCCTTAACTATAAAATGCTTCCACACACATAAACTTATTGCTGGTAGAAGTTGTGTTTGGCATTCAGCCACACTGGCACTTCTGATACAGCACTCTGAAGTACTCTTACTGGTTTTACCCACCACAACCAATCCAAGCTCGCTGCCATGGAGTCGATGCCGATTTGTAGCAACCCCCTGTGGTTTTCTGAGACTCTAACTGTCTATTGTAGTAGAAAGCCCTGCCTTTTTCCCATAGAGCTGCCCGCTCGG